TATTATTTATAACAAACATTTTCCCGACGAGTGGCTTTACTTTTATCATAATCTTGGTTCTAAAATCTCGCGCTCTTTGCATTTGTGGCAGCAAAACTAATTTTATGATGGATTACTTGGCTACGGGAATGGTGCCTTAGCCCACCCCTGCCTAGACTCCACCTTAGCCAGTGCACCCTGGCCCCTACTTTTGAATCGTAGGCAGTGTCATACACTCAAACTCCTCAGCGCTAGGCAGTGCCATGCACCCCTGCTCATAAATGGAATTAGGAATAGAAGGAGGCGAAGGTGGAGGCGGGAGTTTGAGTCGCTTGCATTCGCTTCGCTGTCCATCAAATGCAGCGCCCCCGTTGAGGTGTATCCCTCCACCCTCTGCCACTCTCTCTTGTGTTTCTCTGCCCCCTGTCCACTCGATGAACGTCAGAGTGCATTCGCCTCTGTTGACATTTGTAAAACGCAAACAGAACACGCACGCACAAGGGGATAGATAACCGGACATGGACACGGACACGGACACGGACACGGATAGATACAACAGATGCATATGCCCATAGAAGAAGTCGTAGTCATAGACGTAGACAGAGTCGCCTCTCCTAAGCCATCACTCAATGTGATTAGATCGTTTCTCGGGGGTAATCGAGTGCGCCGAATGGGGGGAGGGAGGAACAGATACAAGAGATATCTCGATGGATAGATAGTGGAATTCCAGACCTCAGGCAAGCGGAAAACTTCAGTATGTGGGAGCAACAATTGGGGTTCGATTTTATTGCTCAATGAAAATTCAAGGGAATGTTCGAAGAAATTCGAAACGTAGGTAAAACGTCGGGAAAGGAATGTGTGGGGAATGGTTATGGTTTGTGGCAGTGTGTGCTCCTTGGTAAGTGTTCTTTTTTCCCAGGTTTTAGTTTCAGTTGTAGTTCTCGCTTTTCTTTTTACGATATTGACACGGGAAATCGTGACTTTTCCCTAATGAACGGGATTTACACGTGTTTATGGCAGCGAGGGTTATACACTGTCTGGCGGGTCGCCTATTTCTCTCTTACTCTCTCTCTCTCTCTCTATTTACTGCAAGGAAGTGTTGCGCCGTCTGCCGTCTGCCTCTGTGTTTCTGTTCTCTTTTGTTGTGCAAACAGTCAAAGAGCAAAAAGTCAAAGCGGCACTATGATCTAAGCCCGCCAACACTGCCCCCTGCCCTCTCTTGCACTCTATCGCGTTTTGCTACAACAATAAGCTTCTCTTTCGTGCAGTCCGTCGCGGCCTGGCAAAGAAAAAGCTTTCAGACTGCATTAGGAGATATATAGACCACCAACAGTCACTGTACCAGCACACTCTCTAAGCTTACGCTCTTCCACTCGCACTCCCATTGTTGCAACTGCACTTCCACTCGTACTGTCTCACTAATACTTCCACTCAGACCGCTTCCATTCGCGCTCTCACAATCTAATCTCAATCGTACTTCCACCACTCCTCTCTCACCTTTGACAAAGCTCAGAGAATCGGAATCAGAGTGCTTCAAAGTGCTTCTGCTTCTTGGGAGAGAGCTGCCAACGGTTTGCCAAAAGTTTCCACATTTTAAATTCGCTTTAAGAGAAGTGCAACCCGGGTGGGTAAAGGGAGGAAGGTTCTGTGGCAACCTAATCGTTGTGCCACACGAAATTCATGCCGCATCAAATTACCGATCCTAGAGATACTCCACTCCGAAGCCAAAGAAGATATTATGCAAAATAATATATAATTTTGATAGCACCCAATTTGAGCCTGTCATAACAAGTCCTGTCCCACCCTCCCTACACCATGAACTCCCAGCCATCCTCGTCTGCGGGGAAAAAATCGATATATGTAAAAAATGTTTGCATGACTTTAGGAAATTTAGCAAACTTTTTCTCGTTTCCTTTGTTTTCCTTTCCTTTTCTCTGGTGCTGCTAGGGCATGCCCCAATATGAGGCTTCGTGGGATATGAAAAATATCTTTTAAATGCAATAAACCAACGAGAAAACGATACCAAGCGATGAAAGGAGGGTAGGAAAAAAACAAGACTCATAAAATTAATATGATATAATAAAGCAAAAATTTGCAAGCTGCCAAAACCATAACGATTGATTCTGAATTATAGCCCAAAGGCCGGACGAAAAAGAACTGGCTGTTGGTATGGAGAGAGGGGATAGGGGAGCACCGATACAAAAGGCCACTTTGCCGCAATATGTTTTGCCTGGAGGAGAGGAATGATGGAGTAATCAAATCGAATAAATAACACGCAGATACAAGAGAGAGACCCGCACAAAAAATGCAAAAAGAGAGTGGGAGTACAAGAGAAGTAGAGCGGGAGAGAGAAAAATGCATAAGTGCCGGCAACGAATAGAATTAAAACTAATTTTTCAAGTCTGAAAATATGACTACTAACGGATGGAACTGCAAATACCCTTTCTTCTCACCCCTGCTAAACATTTCCTTGTAGTCATCACACCCGCTGTTCGCGAAGGCAATGGGTACGAAAAGAGAGGAACAGCAGCAGAGCAGACGCAACCCACGAAATGTTCGGTAATCAATGGCACACTAAACAAAGAGAGGGAGAGAGAAGTGGCCGCAAGGAATTTCCAAGGGATTAGTTTGTCAGCAAACGGAGCGTTTAGGAGGGGAACCAGAATAGTGGGAGGGCGGTCGTCCACTTGCTCCACTTCCACGCGAGCACACGAGAATGAGTAGGGGGTGGGGAGGGAGCAGCGAGCACAAAATTAATCATGGCATTGTTCGACGCTTTTCCAAATAATAAATACTTCAGCGCGACTATAAAATAAATTACTCAAAATCATTTCACTGTCGGACAGTGTCGTGAAGGGGAGAGCAGCCACAAGAGAGAGCGCAGCATAGGAATGGGAATTGCCTGGAACGCAGCAGCAGCAGCAGCCGCCGCAGCCGCAGCACAGTGGATCATGACTTGAGGGATGTGTGTATGTAGTGGAGCATGATCAATTGGCAGCAGGAGTGTGCGGAAGAGGCGGGGGCGTGGTATGCGTGTTTGGACAGTTTTAACTTTTGGTTTCAGTTTTCCCGGTTTTCGCTGTGTGCGTGTGTCAACTTCAAATGAAAGCGAAATGTCAGGGGAATTTGTTGATCATTAATTATGTCGCACAAAAACATTTCAGCCACTTAGGGGGCCCCATGAATGGGAGGCGTACGCACGAGGGAGCACGCGGTAACGAAAGCAGCAGAAGTAACAACAAAAGCAATAACAACACCCTTCCCAGCAGCATCAGAGTCCAAGCGCAGACCCACAGCAACCACAAGATCCACAGCAGTAAAAGAATCGGAAAACCAAATAGCATACACAGAAACACCATCCACAACAGTATGAGTGATTGCCACACCACACCACCGAAACGGCAAGAGCATTTAAATTGCTTCTCATTTATTTTTCTTATTTACCCACCATCTTTGCTATTCCTCTTCTTTCACTTGCACACTCACGCCACTGCATCGCTTACCTGATGCTGTTACAATGAGAGTAACTTCTTGTGAGCAATGTCAATGTCAGAGAGAGTGAGAGTGGAAGAGAAGTTTGGGCAATCATTCACAAAAATTTCATTCATAGCCATACCAAATTTCTTTCTTCATCATTTGAAGGAAGTTGATCATTTATAATTATAAATATTAGTAATTATATCTATTATTCTTAATTTGTTTTATTCCTACAGATCAAAAAATACATTGCATGCACTACGCTACTTCGCTGTTAAAACCTTTGAGTGACAGCATAGGTAAATGAGTGCTGCGCATTTCCCAATCCGTTAACCTACTCTCTTCTACTTATTGGAAGTAGATCACGCTACCCGGCAGCCATCACAATTTCATCACTCTCATTTCGCAAAAAACATTAAACGGCATGGACGGAGCCACGGATCACGCGTGTGTTGGAGGTGTATGTTTTAAGCTGTGAGTCTTCGATATGTTAGTAAATGAGGTAATAAATCAATAAAGCGAATGCATTAGGCATATAAGTGTGTAATAATATTATAATTATTTTAACAAGCCAGAACAAATAGCAGTGTGGGCGAAAGAAGCAGCAAGGCGGAGCATGTGGTCATAAAGGAAAGCGAAAAAGAGGAAGCAGAATGCAAAGCAGAAGTTAAGTGTGAGCGAAGTGAAAAAGCAGTAAAAGTGAAATAAAGAAAAAGAGTGAAGGAAGAGCAGTAGGAACTAGAAAGAGCAAGGCTGGCAAATGGTCAAATTATTCCAATAAGAGAATATAACATTTCCAATTTTTTTTCGAGTGTTATACAAATCTAAAATGATGCAGTGTGTTGGCGGAAGATGCAGCGAATGCGGCCACGGAATAAATCATTTCGGCAAATGAATCATTAAAGCGAATGCATTAAGCATATAAATGTCTAATAATATTATAATTATTTTAACAAATTCAGAAAAAGTGGCAGTGTGTGGGCGGAATAAGCTACGAATGCAGAGAAGAAGCAGCGAGGCAGAGCATGTGGTTATAAAGGAAAGCGAAGAAGAGGAAGCAGAAGCAGAATGCAAAGCAGAAGTGTAGTGTGAGCAAAGTGACATGCAGTAAATTAGGAAAAAGAGTGAAGGAAGAGCAGTAGAATCTAGAAAGAGCAAGGCTAACAAATTATCAAATTATTCCAATAAGAGAATATAACAACCATTTCCAGTTTTTTATCGAGTGTTATACGGTGTTATACAAATCTGGAAAAGATGCCGTGTGTTGGCGAATCAAGAAAAGGGAGCGGAATAAATATTTTCGGCAAATGAATCAATAAAGCGAATGCATTAAGCATATAAGTGAAAAATATAATGTAATTATGTTAACAGACGAAGTGCAAGAAGAAGCAGAAGTAAAGTGTGAAATGAAATGAAGAGAGAGAATGGAGAAAGAGCAGTAGGAACAGCCAATTAAGTGAATAATTCCTATAAGAGAAAAATATATAACCTTTAAATATAAAAAAAATGTATCATTTTTTTCCAGTGTTATACAGTGTTATACAATCTTAAAAAGAAGTAACATGAAAATGAAAAAGGGCAGCAAGGCTCTAATAAGTGTAGTGCAGTGTAAGTGAAGTTAAGTGCAGTGTAAGTGCAGTGTAAGTGAAGTGAAGTGCAAGGAAAAATATCTGTTTGGCTGGAAAGGGGCTAATAGGCGCAACGATAAGCAAGTCTGGAAGACGAGTACAACGAGGAGCCACAAGGAACAAGGCTGGAAGATGAATGCAAATCTCTCAAAAAGAAAGCAAATGCTGTAAGTATTTTCAAACAATTCTTTCTCTAGTGATTTAAAAAGCTCAATTTCAAACCCTTTTTCCAGTGAAACACATTGTTATGCAACAATAAAATTATATTTTGTGAAAACGTTACGCAATATGAAGCTAAACT